GTAAATATTTTATTGCTGCTTCGCTGACATTATAAATTCTAACCCGATTTGGAAGCGAGATGTCGCAACTGATTATTAAACTCAGTGAAGTCTCATTGTACTCTGCGAGAAGTCGCGTTGTCGCGCGCGACAACGCGACTTCTCGCAGAGTATAATGAGACTTAACTGAGTTTAATAACCATTTGCGACATCTCGCTTCTAAATCGGGCTAGAATTTATGATGTCAGCGTAGCGGCAATAAAATATTTACTACCATTTTGAACAACATACCTCTGCGAGAGCGGATTTCGGCCATGACAAACATGAAAAACTAAACATCGTCACCGACTTCGACTCGAAGATGACTCGAGACTGAAGCTGACCATAAAGCAATCAGATTTTACAAAGTCGTGCAAAGAAAATCGTGCACATTTGTCACATTAAAATTAAATAAAATTATGTTATTTTCATTATTATTAGAATTATATTGTAAAGGTAATAAATGTAAAAAAAAACTTATTCTATTTATCACTAGCTGTCTACCCATAGCTTCGCCCCATTATATTGAATTTTCTCTTGGGAGTAAGATATTTTCTCGCAGTAAAATGTAGCCTATGTCCATCTCCAACATATAAGCTATCTCTGTGCCAAATTTTATTAAAACCTGTTCAGCGGGTTAGACGTGAAAAGATGACAGACAGACAGAATTACCTTCGAATTTATAATATTAGTATGGATTAATATGAATTTCTGTTATAAGGGGTACGCGAGTTTCAGCTCTTTCTTGAAGTGGTACATAGGAATAGCTAATTGGGAACCACTGGTATAGGCTAATTAAATTAATACAAGACACTTTATTTAAACATTTGTACGTATTAATGTTTTATGCCAAAAATAAAAGCATACGTTGAGCTTTTGTATATAGTACAGAACGTCAGTGAAGCATTTGTTAAATAATAAAAACTAGCAGGTAAGCCCAGAGTTGCCGGGACAAAAAATAAAAACAAACATTAAGATTCTTTCGTAACCCTTCTATTATATTATAGTATTTGATTTATTTATATAATTATAAAGGTTATATCACACCAAGTGAACAATCTAACACTATAACAATCTGTACACATTTAAAAATTTTTGCATGAAATATTTTTGCTGAATTATATGTTTTAAAGATCTCAGATTCTAAAAATAACTTCCGTTACATCCCATCACGTAAAGGTTTTTTGCAAAATAAAAACAAATTTTTGATAAAAATCCTTATTTATTACAATGAACTAAATATATTATATTTTCTTACAACTAATCAACAAATTGTTTCTGATATTTATACATAATTTTAGGTCTACTCTTTTTTCTTATGAAACCTTTTCTTCTTTTTTTGATGCTTCTCCAAACTCGTTTCCGATTTCCTTCTCTGGTTTCTCGATTGAGCATTTAACAGTAGTCAGCTAACATATTGACATCCCATTTTCCTTGGTAACGTCTCTCGATATCACGGACATCCTGGTGAAATCTTTCACCTTATTCTTTATTGTAGGCTCCCAAGTTTTCGGGGAAATAGTCAATATGAGAGTGTAAGAAATGAACTTTTAAGCTCATCTTGCATCCTTGAGCTTCATAAGCTGCTGCCAGCATGCGTTTTACAATGGTTTGTAGTCAGGGTCTTTAGTATTCCCCAAAAACTTATGCACTACATTCTTGAAAGAGTCCCATGCTTTTTTTTCCTTCCATTGTTTTCAAAAATCTGCTTTGTATTGATCTTCAAGTTTCAATTTGAAATACACAAATTAAACTTTCTTTACAAACTCACTTATGTTTCTTTGTTGACTTTTTACTGTGCATTCAGCACAAGCATAACAGAAGCTGTCGGGAGAAATTATACAAAGTCTGCGAGACATATTCCAGAAATAAAAATAGAAGCACAGTAGCGTTCGAATGCTGGATATAAACTGAATGTGGCATTAGATGGCCAGTGAGATACTGAATTATTTAGCTTGTTGAAACATGATCTAATCCAATAGCAGGTTGTTTATATTTATTCCTAGTATCCCAGATAACATGTCGGAACATGCTCAACCTCACCAATAATATTACTCACTATCAACTTTTAACCTGTTTCTATATGATAATGCGACCTTCCTCCTAACGCTAATACTACTTAACCCACTTCCCCTACCACTACTCTCTTCAACCATTAACATTTTTATTTATTTATTACAAAGTCCAGCTATAATTGATAGAATTAATGTGAGAAGTCTTTGTTTTAAGGCCATTTTTTAAATAAAAAAAAGAATACTATATTTTAAGTTAACTAGGAATTTATGCTAAATACAAACAAAAACTTGAGTGTAACAAGATGGAATTTTTTGGTATTTTTTTTAGTTTTTACCAAGTTTAAATCAGTAAGAAAATGTATAAAAATCCTATGCAGTTTTTTACTTGCAGGCTTGTGTAATGTGTTAGATTTGTCACTCGGTGTGATAATCCCTTACCTAAGATAACCTTTGTAGTTATATAAATCAAATACTATAATATAACAAACATTAAAACGAAAATCATAGAAAGAATTTAGTTATTTTAGCCTATCATTATCACGTTTATCGCGATACTCGGATAGTACGAAATGGCACGAATTCAACGTTCAATTAGACACCAATTGAAAATATGATATTTAAAATTTTTAAGATATCGTATTTTTTCTAATGTTAGCTCTAACAAACCGTTTCATTCACTGCCGAATATCAAATGGTAATCTACCAACGAATCAAATTTTGCAAAACACTTGCCAAATATTAAACAGCATCCTGGAAAACCACTTAAAACATATTTTGTGCTGGTCGGTAATCTCGTATTATGTAATTTTCATATTCGAATGACACCATACTGCTGGGTCCGATAGGCAGAAAAGGATTGAAGGGAGTTGAAAAGTGCTCCGTGTTGGATAGGTTGTGATGGCCCCGCACGTAATGAAAGTAGCTAACCTTAATGTCCGAAAGACTTGATATAAGACTTGTTTAAATAAAAGAAATCCCGTAAAAAATGCAAGAATCGTTGCTTTTATGTGATCCCATAAAAACTGGTGAAACCAAGTTGAAAAAGTAAAGCTCAGCAAAAACATTAAGTAAAAGAAAGTTTTGAAAATTGTGGCATAAAAATAGTGGAAGCAGATTTGACAATAAGACTCAACATGTGAATAAAGTGCACATTATACAGACTACAACTACAGGAAGTTTTGGATAAAACAAGGTCGTCGTGATAATAAATAGGAAAAATAAACATCGGCACAGAAAAAGACTTCTAGCTTTGTGCCTTAAAATCGTTGCAACGTACATTAATTTGGCTGAACGTTAGAACATTAAGCAGTACCAGTGAAGGAAGTTTGAGGCAATGAGTTTATGAGTTAATAAAGGGAGATGAAATCAGAGGAGGGAAGGGGTGTTCAGTTTCGTGTTCAGTTATGTCCACTGAATATCTCGTTTATAGAAAAATTATTAGAATTGGTTTGGTTTATTTGGTTACGACAACGCGAAAGAGGAATCTGCCAATGAGGATGCATCTCGAGAAGACTTTTGTAATGCTGTCCCCTATTTAGGTGTTACTAACGCAAAGAAAGCCCAGAAAACTGCACGTGGTCAGTCTGTTGGCGATGCGCGAACTCATGATCGACTATTGGTGTTCGGTGGTTTCATTCACTCGGTTACTGAAGGTTCTTTTTTTGGTTTCTTTTGAAGTTGTAGATCTATAGATTTACTGTCGTCCATCTGCTGTCTCTCCCTAATCTCAAGAACGGAGTTAGATAGATTAAATTCGAGACCAGATATGGAAAGCTTGGGGCAGGAGGTTCCGATTAACTATATTCGAATTTCCGATAGAAACCGAAAGTCATGTTATTTCAATTAAAAATTTTTGCTCTGAACGGAGTTAGATACATAACCATCACGACTCTATTGCTAACAGGAAAAGTATGATATACAGGGGCAAAACACTATTCTGCAGGCTAGTGCTATGTACTACCTGTCTCAGTAATTCAGTGACTATAATATATATATATATATTTTAATATATCCTTTTTTGTAAGAATTATATTTAGTTAATTACTTTGTTAACTTTTTTGCCAATCGTTGGCGCTACGTGAAAGACAATCGAATGTAAATAAAAAGTAATTAATTTATAGAAATGCAATAGATTTTTGGGTGAGATATACGACATGATCTAAGTTAGAAGTATTTGAACGTAGCTTCTGAGTTTCGTAGCAATTGGTCGAACGGCCTAGACATGAATAACGAACAAACAAACAAACATTCACATTTAAATATTTAGATAACAAAGCCAGAACAGCTAATTGAAAAATTATTACACGCAACTATTTATTGTGACATCGTCATAAAACCGAGATGCAATTTTTAAACATATCTTTAATTCATTTAATTTAAATTATATGTTCTCCACCTCAAATTAGTAGTGGCTTGCTCCTGTATATTATACTTTTCCTGCTAGCGATAGAGTCGTACCAATCAACTCCTATCTAACTTCTTTCAGGGAATAATTTTTGAATTAAAATAACGTGACTTCCGGTCTAGACTTGAAGTTCATATATAGTTAATCGGGTCTCCTTCTTCTAAGCTTTCCATATCTGGTCTTGACTTTCATCTAACTCTGTTCTTGAGATTAAGGAAGGACAGTCAGTCATACCACAGTGAAAATTTGTATAATCTTTGGATTTAATTGCATTTCTATAGTGTAAAAAGAGCGTATTAAGAATACGCGGAATTATTTTGTGCTTTGTTTTTCATTTTGTATATGCATTTTCATTATTAAGCATTAGTACCGGTAAGTATATTTGTTTTTCTAGCATTTTAATAAATTTAAATAATTCTAAGTAAAATTTGCTCTTCAATATTAACAATATTGAAGAGCAAATTTTATATTATATTATAATATAATATACTATAATATCAAATGAATATTATAATATTCATTTGATAAATATAAATAAATATTATATATTATATGTTAATTACTTGATTGATAATGAAATAAATGATGGTTAATATTGCACATAATAATGTTATTCCCATAATAATTCGAAAACGATAAATTCTCATCTGAAATGAATGAAAATAGTATAAGAATTAAATTTTCAGGACGTTTTAATTAAAAAAAAAACATTTAAGTTAAAGAATTCACCTCAAAACATATTTGATCTGGACATTCAGTATGCTGTTTCATCCATTTAAATTTTATATTTTCAGAAACATGATAAGCTATCTTACATAAGTAGATAATGTACAAACCTGAACAAATCATAGTTATAAAAGTAAATATAAGCTGGATAAATGACTTAAGTTATTAATAAAATAAATAATAATTTTGTAATTTTAAATTCATTTTAAATAAATATTTATATCAAATTCAGCATTGTGTAGGCCATGGTCTTTAACTTCTGTAATTAATCAGTCTAGCTAGAATAATATTCAGGTAAGCATTCTTGATCTCACAATAATACAGGATTTTATTTATTTATATAATTTCAATATAATTCATTACAAATTATCTAAGGATACAAATATTTTAGTTTTTGATTCAACCAACCAAACATTTCTCAAAGGATTTTCTTGCTGAATATTTCTATAAAATATAAAAATGTAGTCTATTATTTAAATATAATTTAAAATTTTAGTAAAATATTAATAACATAGCTCACTTTTTATAAGAATTAAATATCACTATAGTAAAACACATTATGAAAATAATAATAATGGTTTTGTGATATTTTTTCAAATGTTGATATTCTTTTTCAATCTAAGGAAAAAAAATTGTTCTCTAAGTCTAAATAAATACATTCTCTAGGTAAAATCTAAATAGATTTTTATGATAAGTTATAATTACCATTTGACATTCATTGAAGTATATAATCCAATAATAAAACAACATACAATAAAATAAAGTTTCTCGTAGTTCTGTAAAAATTAATACGAATGCATTGATGAAAGGAAATTCAAACCAATGTTGCAAATATTCCGTTGGAACTAAATAAAATAAATATAACTTTTTAATGTATAATTAAAAACATTAAATATTACAACGTTCTGGTTATCCTCAAAGAGCACAAGTATGACATTGAAAAGGGGCACTGCAACACGGTTTTGTCCAGTACAGGACTCCATAATTATATGGAATGAAGCGAGTATCCTCAGAGATATGAGTTTACCTTCGTTAGCATTGAGCCAAGAAAAATTAAAATTTATAAAAGTAAATTAAAAGATGGTTGCATAAATTCCAGGGATGTAGATGGACTACCTAATGCATGGAAATTCTGCATAAAATACCTTGTAAAAATTAAAGTATAAGAATTCTTAGTCTGTACCTGCCCGTATATTTTGATGCATTTTGTTTATNTCCATTGTGTGTTGAAACAGACATATTAAATGTCTGTTTCAACACACAATCTTTCTGGTTGATGATCTTAACAGGGGCTTATTTTGGGGATAGTGCTTATATTACAAGCATCCTGAAAAATCATACTAGAGCTGATTTTCTGGTTAGGTCTTATTTTTGGAAAAATACAATAGTAGTGACTTTCCAAATATTTTTAATACAAAAAGAATAAATAATAAAAGTTAACTTAGATTCAGGTCTTAAGTTTTTAAAAAAGTAAAGATTCTTATATTGAGAGAGTTGACTTATATTCAGGACCATATAGTATATGCTAAAAATCACTAATCTAACTCAGCTTTTTATACTTAATGAACTATCAACACCACATTCTGTTGCTGAGAAATGTTTTATTAAACAAGCACAACATTTTCAACCTAATGCAATAGGCCATCTTCAGGTGCAACTGAATTCAAATGCCTTTTCAAAATGGAACATTTTGATGCATTTTGTTTATTTTATTTTATTTTGCATTTGTTTAAAATATTTTATCTTTGTATTCAGGTGCAACTGAATTCAAATGCCTTTTCAAAATGGAACATTTTGATGCATTTTGTTTATTTTATTTTATTTTGCCTTTGTTTAAAATATTTTATCTTTTATTTAAATGTTAATTTATCTGATTTAAATTTAAATATGAGAGTTCGAACATTCTTTCGTTAAAATGATCCATTTTGAAAAGGCGTTCGAATTCGGCTATACCTGAAGATAGCCTATTGCATTAATTTGAAAACGTTTTGTTTGTTTAATAAAACGTTTCTCAGCAACAGAAGGTGATTTTAATAGTTTATTAAGACAATAAGATCAAACTAAAATGTAAACATTTAAATACTTACTGTTTTGTAAAATTAACAAAATAGAAAGATAACACAGCATCCTGAAAAATAAATTCAAATTAACTTTCTGAAAATATTGGAAACAATATTTCAATTAAGAATAAATAAATTTTCGCTATTAAATTAATTGATGTTTAATTGAACTACAATTTTTAAAAATTGTAAACCTATAAATTCCCACTATCGTCTGTCTGTCAGTCTGTTTTTCCTTAATGTTGAGAACAGTGTTAAATGAAAGTCAAGATCAGATATGGAAAGTCTAGGGGCAGGAGGTCTTGATTAACTATATGAGAACTTTCTATTTATATCGGAAATCACGTGATTTAAATTCAAATATTTTCTCCTGAACGGAGTTAGATACATGACCGGAATAACTTCATTGTTAACAGGAAAAGTATGATGTACAGGGGCAAGACACTACTAAAATTGAGAACGTGTCGGCCAAAAACGATCTTCTTTCTGATACTGTAATTGTGCATTTCGATCTTTAACCAAAAACTTATTTTACAGAATTTATAAATAAATGGTAAATCTCTCTGAATCCTCTGTCATTTCAAGATTTCATAAGTTCTCTTAGTGAAATATCACAGATTGATTATAACTTCTTTAAATCCTTTATTTAAAACCAACGTTAATATTGCAAGAAACAATTTAGAATTACATATTTGACATTACGGAAACAGTATTTAATATATGGCATTGCATTTACTATAACAGATAACATAGGGTCACCCATTTTAAATGGGAATAGAAACCGAATATAGATGTTAATGAATAATAATAATAATAATAATATTTGTATTAATAAATGCTAATAACGAGTAAAATCTTTATTAAGTCCGAAGCCTCTTAAGATATGACACGTGACTCCCTCTAACTCATCATCTCCTCGACCTTTAACCCACCAAAATTTAGTAGTATCAATGCTATTCAAACTACTATGTCAAAATCATTTTCTTTATCTTTACCTTATCCTGAGATATTAAACTAAATAGACGCCAACACACACACGCATACACAAAAGTTATTCAAATATCTTCAAATAAGTTAATATACAGTCGACCCCCCCTATAACACGGGTTCCTATAGTTCGGATTCCTATATCACGGCGAAAATATTGCGACAGTATTCGTACAAACATGCTAAAAAAACTCGTATAATTCGGTAAAACGTCATCGCCGACTCGTGTAGCGACAGGATTGGTCGAATCTAGACAAATAGCGGATATTGTACAGTACAAACCGTTGAGTTTAAACGAGCAGCGGACCTACTAAAAACCATTTATTATTTAACCTCCATAAAAATTATATTTATATTATGATGTCTCCAAAGTTCAGCGAATTTTTCGCAAAAAAATAATCGAGCGCCATTCGATGACAAGCTTCACGACGAAAACAAGCTTAAGCAATGGCGTAGTCGAACGGTGCACACTCGGTAAGTAATCCTACAATTTTTTGTTTATAGCATAGTTTATATGGATTATTCCCAAAAAATTATACGTATTTTGGAAATGTTGAGTCGAATTAGTCTATAATCGATTAATTTTATGGAAGAAACCTTTCAAACAGCCGTAGTCCGTAAACTGCATACGTGTCAGGCTGTGATTGGCTGGACTCGTAGAAAATGGATTCATAAAAACCGGAACGTATCTACCGTGTTATAGGGGGGGTCGACTGTATTACATTAATTTGTTAAGATTATCTTAACGGAATATTAACAAACCAACGACTTTTTGGCACAAGGACGTAACACACATTTGTCAAAATTTTTAGCGAAATTTAGCAGAAGCCAAAAACCGTCTGAAAGACGAATTTTGTAATAAAATGACCCTAAATTTGTAACAAAGCTTATCTTAATGAAAAGGTGAAGGTGATGTTTGTGGTTGTCAACTTTTGTGAATGAACCGTACAGAGTGGACATGCGATCAATGTATCAATACATTCTTTGGGTATATTCTATATTCAATAGCAAGGGTGTTAAATGACTTTCTCAACCTGTATAACGGTTTTTTTAACATTAAATAAAATTAAAAAGTGTTCCTGTAAAAGAACACATTGTTAAATACATCCTGGACTGGGCGATATACAATATTTTCATTAAGGGTTGAAGAAACTCAAATATGGGAAATTTGTGGGTTATGTCTTTCTGCCGAAATATCGTCGATGTATTAAAAGCAATAAACACAGTTATTATAAATTGTAAACTTACCATAATTTTTAGGTTTTTAAAATGTTCAACCGTAAGATCTAAATTAATTTTATCCATTAAATTTATTGGAAAATAAATGTTGAGTAAACAATAATTATATTGAAAATTGGAAAGTTCAAAAATAAATAAAGGTTCGCATTTGTACAAAGGAAGACTGTTCTTAAAAATCTGAAAAAAAATATTCAAGACAATTTTAATTCGAGTTTAATAAATTACTAACGATTCTCTGTTTTTACACACAAGAAACCTTACATTACTGAATTAAAATGCGTATAAAATTAAGTTCGCATTATAGACTAAACACAAATAAAAATATTCCTGTAGTTTTCCTTCTTGTCCTTTACATAATTGTAGGAAACATGATCCACATTAGCAGAGTTCACTTCTGTTCTTCGAATACTGTTTTTCTTGCTCTGTGATTATACCTGGAAATGATTTTACTTATTTGTCTGCAAGTGAAACTTTAATTTTCTGTCTTATCCATGTTAAGTTTTATGTTAAGTTAATGTTCTTTATATCCAGAAACTTCTTCCATTTCCACATTAGACAAATTTCTAGCCTATAATAAGATTTAACATAGAAAATCACTCCATTCTGAAAAATTTGCTCACAAATAGTTCCTATTTTAGTCAGATTTTACTGTACTATAATGGCAAAAATTAATTTATATTTTATCAGTATGAATAATTCTAATTAATTCTAATTAAAAGTGAATTCTGCTTATTTAAATTACAATTCAACATCCACATTTTAGTTCCAAACTACTGATAGTCTACCATATATTTAAAAGTAAATTTATGACTGATGTAGGTTTAAACTATGATTTTGAGCTAAAAATCTTGAGATCAACTTATATGTCAGCATTGATAGTCTGTTGGCATGTGTTAGCTGTAACAGAAAGTTTTATCATCTCATAGATTTGTACATTGAGATGAATTTCATGACCAATTGAAGAAGGGTGCTATGATCAGTAGCAATGATTCTATTTGTTCTAAATCTATAGGTATCTGTTATATAGGAGAAATGAATAAATTCTTTTCTAGTAAGAGCCTAAAGGATAAGAGTTTATATAATGTTGGATCTTTGAATACAAAATGATAGTACAAAGATGAAAATTCTGTATAATGTACACTCAGTTTTGAATGTTGCATTCTCTGTTTGAAATAAATATCCAGAAAACAAACTTTCCTGTTCCAATTCTGAGATGAAGACTTAGAGCAAGTGTTTAATGATATCTAGAAATTTCTTACCAAACTTTCAACAATAAAGCTCATCTCAACATAGAAATATATGAGAGAACAAAATTTTCCACAGAAGCAAGCATAAGTCAAAGGACTTTCAAGTGATAACAAGTTGGAAGCTGGAATTGTACATCATGTTAAAGATATGATGAGTGACTAGTAGTACTGTGGTTTATTACAAGTGCAGTTTTTTAGAGATGTGCAATAACAAATTAGTTAAAATATATAAGAAAACAACAAAAGAAAGGAAATTTACAGTCACTTTCAAACATAATAGTGTGCANGGTCAAATCTTCAGAATAAAAATTTGAATTTAAATTTCTAATTTGTTCGAAAGAAACTTTCGTTATAGCAACAATTCTCCAGAAAATTACGTAAAATATCTGAAATTCAAATGATTAGAATTATTTAATACGCTGTTTAAACGGATTCGGATTCTGTTACAGCGTATCTTGACGTCATTTATGAATAATTCACTGCTTACACATCACTTGAAATTCTATTGTAAGCCGTTAACCAATCTAAGGCGAAAATGGAAGACTTTTTGAGTATCAAATACTAACTTGCACAACACAATCTGAGTAAAGTTGAATTATAAACCATAACTAATAATATAACTTGTGGTTTCGGATCTTGGTCGACTTCTCGGTGACCAGTTACAATCTATTATCAAGTTGCTCTTCGTTAATGTTATAGTTTCATTGTTTGGAACGTAACTACGACAATAAAACACCGCTGTTTCGTCCTACCTGTAATAAAGTTAACTCGTTCCCTAAGAGTAATAAAAATTACACACTATTTTCGAGAGAAAATCATATGTACTAAAAGTAAATTTATTTCGATGTAATTCTATCTTTGTTAATAAAAGTTATTGAACGATTACGACAAAATGTTTTAGGAGAAATGCTTCCCCTATCTGAAACTTATACTGTATATAAGCCAACTTAAAAATCTAGATTGTTTTATCTCGAATTTAGTTATTTTCTTAATTTTATTTAATTATTTTAAAGAAGGTAAGATCAGCGTTTAAAGTGGCAAGTATAGTATTTAACCCTCAATATAACAATATTTTTACAATTTAAGTACGAGCCAGGTCTTAATTAAAGGGCTTTACTCTCAGCCATATGATTGATTATTTATATCGTACTTGGGTCAGTCTGATTCGTACCATACTCAGTATGTTGTTGATTGTTTTAGACAGTGTTTTTTCTTTTGCAGAATATAAATAGTGTTCTTGTGTTTTTATTATAGTTATAGTTTATTTGTGAAAAGTTTGGTTTCAACTTGTGAAAATATTTACAATAAAGAACTACGCTACATTTTGACCTTTGCCATGTTATGAACCACATTGTTGAAGTTAAAATCCTTATAAGAGGTAATTAAAAGTTAATAATTGTGGAAAATGGAAGAAGTGTTGCATTTGCCCATCAAAAATAGACAAAGAAAACATGTCATTAAGTGAAAGAGATTGAAAGATGTAGAAAGTGAACCATTGGGATGTGTACAAATTGAGCACTATATGTTTCATTCTGGATAACGAGAATACATTAACATGAACTAACCATTTGTTCGTTATGTTGTAGACAAAAACC